GACAATAATAATAACTGAAGAGGGAGCATTAGAAAGAGTAAGATTATCATATATAATAACAATTAAGATCAGAATATTTAAGAATTATGCAAATGAACTCTTATAATCTGTTGTAAAGAGATTAATCTTTTGACATTAATTTGAGAGTTAAGACACCTAATTAACATAGAATAATGGCAACCAAATATTTAAAAATTATGCAAATGATTATTTAATATTCCTATTCAAAGACAAATCAATTTTAATTACTTATACTATGTTTCATGTTTTTAGCCAAATGGTGTTGTTAACCCCCTCCCCTTCCTTCATGCAACTTCTTTTTAAATATAATATTCTTACATAGACAAATTGATTTTTTATCACTTAGGTATAACATTTCAGTTTGCAGCCATAGGCTTGTGTTTAATCCCCCATCTCAATTTCAAGTCAAAATTCTGTAAAAGTATATACTTTTCTGTGGATTTTTTCAGATAATATGCTTATAAAAGTTGAATGGGACTTAATTTGGAGAAGTTCATTTAGAAACATAATGTATTATTCATTTTTCTGCTTCCAAAAGACCAAACAAATAGCCCATGGAAAACCATGGACTTTCAAAAGATCAAAAGAATAATCATGGAAAACCATGGCTTTTGATTGCACTTTCCAAAACATCAAAGAAATAACCATGGAAAAGCATGGCTTTCGATTGCAATCAACCGTCTTCCATGGCTTTTGATTGCAGTTTTCTCAACTTCAAAGAAAGAAACCATGGTTTTTGATTGTATTCTCAAATGTACGAAATGTAATTTAAGAAAATGAGTTATTTATTTCTTAAATTACTTCATATTGATTTTTAAAACTGAAAATTAAAGAAAGTATTGAAATAAAACAGAGCTTGGGCTGGTTTGACTCAATCTTTTTCAAAGGAAAGAGGTGTTTGGCCTAAAAAATAAGCAATCTCTATCTAGTCTTGATCTACACAAAAGACCTTTGCACAATTGTTTTTGAAATCTTGTGGCCTACTCTCTGCTCTGCTGTTTCACATATTTTCTCATTTGTAAGTTGAGTCTAACATTCGATGAATGTTCTTGCTATACCTTCAAAATGAAATGTCCACCCTTTTTTCTCAATGATAAGTCTCAGTCTAACTGGGATATATCATCAAAACATTCATTTTGGAGATTTTGGTAAATACAAATCCTACCAAAATTGTTGATTTTACATCTCCATGACACATCCATTAAAAACCAATTACCAAACCAACAATTACCACGGAAAATCATGGTAAATATCCATGGAAGATTACCATGGGCGTCCATGAATTTCCATGGAAAATAACATGGAAAACCATGAATTTCCATGGAAAACCATGGATTACCATGGGCGCACCATGGAATATCATGGTTACCATGGCTTTTTTCTTAAGGGAAATTAAAGGAACAATTCACCGAGCTATTGGATGCAAATATCAACAATGGTTTACTTGAAAAATTTTATATTGATGTTGGTTCCAAAACTAATTCAGATTATTTACTACAGTCTCTTAAACATGTTATATATGACACTTCTGATAAAATACTCCCACTTAAACATTTAAAGAAAAGTACTAAAAAGTTCCCAATGAATCCATGGTTTAACAGTGAATGCAAAAAATTGAAAAAGGATTTACATTCTGCAATTAAGCAGAAGCTACCTAATAACATTATTGCTGATTTACAGAGAACGTATAACCGAACTAAACAGCGCGAGAAAAGAACATATCAGTCAAATCTTTTAAAATCTCTCATTTCTTTCAAATCTAAAAATCCAACAGAATTTTGGAAAATGATAAATAATATCCCAGGTAGCAGTAATACAAATGAAATCCCTATTGAGGCATCAGAACTTTTTTGTGCTTTTGAAAAGTTGGGTAAGAATCCCAAAATAGACTATTTTGACGATGGGGCATTAAAAGAGATGCAATTATTTATAGATGAATATGATAAAAATAGTGTTTTGAGCAGAGAAATTGGATTTAGTCATGAAGTGCTTAATAGCAATATAAAGGAAGCTGAGGTATATGCTGCTCTCAATAAGGTTAAAGTTAACAAAGCACCTGGAATAGATGGGTTATCTTCTAATATCATTAAGAATTGCAGTATATTAGTCCCTGAATTCACGTCCCTTTTTAATCACATCTTTTCTCATGGTGACTACCCTAATGAATGGAGTATAGGCATGTTAACAACTCTCTTTAAACAAGGTTGTAGATTTAATCCTGATAACTATAGGGGAATAAATGTGTTGACTTGTATCGGTAATATCTTTGATAGAGTAATACAAAACAGACTTGTTTTTAATGCTGAAATGTTAGATATCCAAGATCCACTCCAAGGGGCATATAAACCTGGACATCAAACAACAGATAATTTATATATTTTAAATACAATCTTAGCCCGTTATAAGCTCATGAAAAAGCCTCTATACTGTATCATGATAGATTTTAGAAAAGCATTTGACTATGTAAATAGAGTGGCGCTTATGTATAAACTTTGTAAATCAGGAATTTCACCTAATTCTAATATATTCAAGGTTATATCTAGTATGTATGAAAAATCAAAAGCATGCCTAAAATTTAAAGAAGGTATCACCCCTACTTTTGAAACAGATGTTGGAGTAATGCAGGGCTCTGTACTTAGTACCTATTTATTCAACCATTTCCTTGATGACTTAAAAGATAATTTACCAAAAGAAAATGGTATTCAATTTAATGGAAATATGTTAAACCATTTACTTTGGGCTGATGATCTTATCTTGATGTCAAATAGTAAAGATGGTGCCCAAATTTTGCTCAATTGCCTTTTTGATTTTTGTAAGAGATATCATCTCATAGTTAACACAATGAAGACAAAATCAATTATTTTTAACTCAAAAGTTGATGCAGTTTTCAGATTCAATGATAGTGCTATAGAAAATGTTGAGCAGTACAAATATCTTGGATGTGTATTAAGTAAAACAAAGAATTTTGACCAGCATGTATTTTACTTGAAAGAGCAAGCAAGGAAAGCTTTGTTTAAAGTTAAACAGCAATATAAAAAATTTAATGACATTCCAGTTAATGTTGCATTGCACCTTTTCGATTCCTTAGTTGAACCTATTTTAACTTATGCCTCGGAGGTGTGGATCAATGAAAAACATCTGAAGTCAATAGAGACAATGCACCTATCTTTTCTTAAATGTCTGTTAGGTGTTAAAAAATCAACTTCAACACCAGCAATTTATGGAGAATTGGGACGCTACCCGTTAAAAATACGTTTTGAAATCAAATTAATTAAATATTGGCTCCGTTTACTTCACCTATCACCAGGAAACATTCTTCATAAAACATATATATATGACCGTGAAATGAGTCAATTTGGTTTTAAAGGCACTTGGTCAAACAAAGTCATTGATATTTTAAAAAAGTGTGATTTATTATCTTATTGGGATACTCAAAAGATTGATGATGACAATATTTTTATCAAGACAATAACAAAAACACTGTATCAGAATTATAAAACTCAATGGAACAAAGATATATTAAATTACCCTGTCTTGAGAACTTATGTTAAATTCAAAAATGTCTTTGAAAGAGAGAGTTATTTAAATATCCAAAATAAAAATTACAGGCAAGCAATTTGTAGATTTAGGCTTAGTTCCCACAAGTTACATATAGAACTTGGTCGTCATTTAAAGCCAAAGCCAAAACCTGTAGATGAACGTTTATGTAATATTTGTGGTATTTTAGAAGATGAACAACACTTCATCATGATTTGTAAGAAAAACACTACAGAAAGAAAATTTTTGTTTGACACCCTTACACGATTTAATTTTGTAGGCAGTCCTGACATTATTTTTAAAAAACTAATGTCTCACAAAAATTCTTATGTAATTTTACATTTAGCAAAGTTCATCTATCATTCACTCAAAAAATTGGATTAATGTGTCAACGATGCATCACACTGATATTTAAATTTCTGTCAAGTTATATTTGTATTTTACAATTATCTTGTATTCTGTATTTTACATTTGATGATGTAATTAGAATTGTATTTGACAACAACTTTATTTTTGTATTCAATAGTTAGTTTAGTCTTAGGTCAGTTTTGTAGATTGTAGTTTTTAGTGACTAATATGTCATTGTAATGACATCAGAGAGTCAATAAAAGATATATATATATATAGTAAGAAATTACATGTTATTTTGTTGTTTAGAGCCATGGTAAAATATATGCTTCTCCAGAGGTCATGCTTCAGTGCAATCATAAATATTAGTTTATGAAATGATAATATGAAATAAGAAAATATACTTGAATATATAAAACACAATTGGTACAATCATTCTAAGGATTTTCAAAATGGCTGACATCATTTTATTTCATGCTGAAAATTGCATAAAAGTTCTATTTTCCAGTCCAGTCAGTATCTAGATAAGGTGTATAGCTCCAACAGGGCGTTTTGGAAGAGAATGGGGCGTTTTGATCAGTTTCGAACAGATGCGTAGGACTTTTGGAAATTGCTGCGTTTTATGTAATAAATATGTTGATGCAGAGATGGAGGGTTGTAATGGGAGTCCTTGTGCAAAATATAGGGGAGAATAATAAAAGAAATGGCAATGTATCGAGGTTTTTTGGTTGAAATCTCTGAAGATTTGCATCTTCTCACATCTGGGGACCAAAACGATGCTAAAACGAGTGACTATGTACTCAAAAACAATGTCTCGAGTGAAAGGTATATCTGTGAAGGTTTTAATGGAACAAGTTTGAAGAAAAATGGTGTACTGTGAGACTCACAATCATTGATTTTCCAAAGAAAGGGTAGGTTTGAAATTCAAATTAATGGCTTTGCGGGGTGTTTTGGTTTCGATACGCCCCGGTGAGTTAGTACTGCGTAATTATGTATGGGAATTTATCGTTTCACATTATTCAATACATGTACTTGAAAATATTTAATATTGTATATTTTTGCAATTTAATGTTTCAAATAACTCTTCATTGTAGGCCAGAGGTATTACAGACCCCACTGAGATCATATTTGAGATGTCAAAAGATGAGCGAAAAGATTTCTATCGCACAGTATCAAGAAACCTACAGCGCCCTCTGTTCTCTGTGTACAGGAGAGTCATCAGAATGTATGATCAGAAGAACCATATGGGGAAGTATACCCCTCAGGAACTCCAAAAACTTAAGGAGTAAGTTTGACATGATGTATACGTGTATATCAATCAAAACATAGCCCAATAAAAATTGGCATTAAGATGCATATGAATAGTAAATATAACTAGATTGGTAAATTGAACAAAGTTCAATAAACAATGAACAAAGTTCAATTTAAGACTCCAGATTGATTTACTTGAGTAAAGAGCTGAGTAAGTAACTGAGTAGGAAGCTGAGTAAGTAGACGATTAAGTAATTGAGTAAGTAGCTGAGTAGGTAGCTGAGTAAGCAACTGAGTAGGTAGCTGAGTAGGTAGCTGAGTACGTAGCTGAGCAAGTAGCTGAGTAGGTAGCTGAGAAGTACAGGGTGTTCAAAAAAACGCAACCCAAAGAAATCACTATATCTTGAAAAATATTGGTTCAATTATGTTCATATTTTCAGGAAATAAAGAAGAGACTGTGTATGTATAGCTCCTGTAAATGGTTAGTTGTAAAACATGATGCCTTGGACACCTGCTCAAAAGACAGTTGAACTAGGAAAATACGAAAAACGTAGTCAGGGGTGACTGCAACCGCAAAAAAATTAAATAACTTCCTAACCGTAGTGTTTTGGCTCTTCAAATTTGGCACAAATCATCTTCATTCACTGTATGGTAAATCTGTAGAGTGAAATCAAAATCACTTCAGGGACTTCACAGTCATGGTTGAAATGCTTTCAAATCGCAGTCAAACGCCCTGGTTCAGGGAGACTTACGAAGGCATTTTGACCATGACTGTAAAGTCCCTGGAACGATTTTGATGAAACTCCACAAATTCACCACACATTAAATGAGGATAATTTGTGCCAAATCTGAAGTGCCAAAACACCATGGTTAGAAAGTTATTTGGTTTTATTGCTGTGGCAGTCACCTCTGACTACGTTTTCATATTTTCCAATTTCAGCTGTCATTTTAGCAGGTGTCCAAGGCATTATGTTTTACAACTTACTGACGAACGGAGCTATACAAACACAGTCTCTTCTTTCTTTTCCTGAAAAAATGAACATAATTGAATAAGTAATTTCCAAGATATAGTGATTTTCCATTCACGCTTTTCGTATTTTGCTAGCATATCTGCCTTTTGAGCTAGTGTCCAAGACATCATGTTTTACAACTAACTAACAACATGGGCTATACATACACAGCCTCTTCTTTCTTTCCTGAAAATATGAACATAATTGGATTAGTATTTTCCAAGATATAGCGATTTCTTTGGGTTGCGTTTTTTTTTTGAACACCCTGTAGGTAGTTAAGTAGGTGGCCGAGTAGGTATGTAGCCGAGTAGGTAAATTGACTGAATAATGATCTTTATTGGAAGCCTTATGGTTATCGAGAAAACTGGGAAAGAATAATAAAGAATAAAGAATACTGACGAAAACAATAGACTCCAGATTTACATCTGGAGTCTAATAATAACTAGAAATTAAAAATTGAACAAGTTCAACTCCAGATGACAGACAGACCGACAGACAAACAGATAGATATAGACTCATATACATATATATTCATATACACTACAGAAAGAAAAATTTTGTTTGACACCCTTACACAATTTAATTTTGTAGGCAGTCCTGACATTATTTTTAAAAAACTAATGTCTCACAAAAATTCTTATGTAATTTTACATTTAGCAAAGTTCATCTATCATTCACTCAAAAAATTGGATTAATGTGTCAACGATGCATCACACTGATATTTAAATTTTTGTCAAGTTATATTTGTATTTTACAATTATCTTGTATTTTTGTATTTTACATTTCATGATGTAATTAGAATTGTATTTTACAACAACTTTATTTTTGTATTCAGTAGTTAGTTTAGTCTGAGGACAGTTTTGTAGATTGTAGTTTTTAGTTTTTAGTGACTAATATATCATTGTAATGACATCAGAGAGTCAATAAAAGATATATATATATACAAAAAAACGCCACTTTTTTACACTACAACTTTTTTATTTTCCAACCTACATACCCCAAATTTTTCAGTTATATAGTGCCAGGGGTTCTCAGTAATGGTATGATGTAACAAGTCCTTCAACTTAGATTATATTTGATCTAAAAGGGGAGTTCAATTGGTCCGCCACCCTAATTGATGATATATTTTAGCTTTAGTCGCCTTGCTGATATAGCAGTATCAATGAAATGTTAGCTATGTTTTTTTCAACCGGTCTTAATTGCCAGCTTTTGTTGAGCAATTTTCTAGATTGGGTGCCTTCATACAATCTCCTGGGGACCTTCCCCTACCCTAAACTCACTGGGGTTTGCATCAGGGCTATTACCTTGGCGGTCATCAGGTCATCAGGCCATATCAGTTCAGGAACATTTTGCAAATTATGCTTATTTCTCATGGCACACCACATGTTTAAGTGAGACGCTGGTGACATATTTTATTCAAGTAAAAGTGTACAATTCATGATGGATGGCTATAAAACGACTTCAAGTTTCATTTGGTATGCAAATTATAATTTTGTACCAAAAATTAAAAAAGTTATAGCATTTTGAAAAAAAGTGGCATTTTTTTGGCCCACCCTGTATATATATATATACAGGGTGTCAAATGGCGTTGTGCCCCCCTTCCACAGCATAAACTTAGAAAGGTAAATGAGAAAAATGATATAGATTAGATTAGATTAGTTTAGAGATTAGATTAGATCAGATATTAGATTAGAGATTAGATTAGATTAATGATTAGATTAGAGATTAGATTAGATTAGATTAGATTAGATTAGATAGATTAGATAGATTAGATAGATAGATAGATGTTCAATATTTTCTTCAGTAATCCTGACTTTCTATAAGGATACCATCAAATCGATTTTTCGAAATTTCAAAATGGCGTAGAATCTTAACTATCAGTCGGATTTCAGTTTTGATTTCAGATCCGTAATCCTGAGACTATGTAGATGATTTTTTAAAAATGGGTCAATTGAAGCAAGTTGAAAAATGACCAATTTTACCATTTTCAAATATCTCAAAATTGGTTAGCTTTGTCTCCAAGGAACATAATGAAAAAAGACCAAGAAAAAATATTGAAAGATGACTGAGAAAAATGGTAAAATAGTGAAATCACAAGATTTGACTGAGCTCTTGACCTTTGACCTAGATAAAAATTTGACCCTATTTCCCACCAACTAGATACAGGGTGGTCAAAAAAACTGGAAGCCCTTACACCATTATCCTAATATCTTAATTATTTTAAGAAATAACTTTGCACATTTGTACATCACTCAATTTCCTACCAGCCTACCATATTTCATGACCATCTGATTGATAGTCATTGTGTTACAGCACTTTAAAGAACATTCCCGGTGGCCACTATTGCGCTGAAGACCAACCTGCACATGTCGTCCAAAATGTCCCTACCTATGGGGATATGGCAGAGATAGAGTATATAATAATGAGCCCAGGACAATTGCAGACCTCAAAAGTGAGATCATCTGTATCATTCAGGCCATACCTGCTGAGGAATGCATTTGGATCATTGACAGCTGTACAGGTTTGCCTCCAGCGCAATGATGGCCAAACCTGAAGCATGTTGTTCAAAGTGCTGTATAATTGTGACTATCAGTCTGATGGTCATGAAATATGGTAGGGTGGTAGGAAATTGAATGATTTACAAATGTGTGAAATATGAGGGAGTAATTTCTTAAAATGACAAAGATATGAGGAAAATCCAGGGTTTCTGTTTTTTTTGACCACCCTGTACTATACCTAAATTGACCATATAATAGTCTTGAAAAGATACCTTATTCACCTTTCCACAAAGTAAAGCAAATTGATAATTTCCAATAAATGTCGTCAATGCCTGAAAGTTTTGAAGAATTAGTACAGCCAGCATAGGAATATTTTGATTTAACTGCAATAAAAAGGATTCTATTTGCCCAATGCACTAATTATTCCATTGAACGAAGTTCGGAGGGATATAGGGAACGCCTCTGTCCGTCAGTCTGTCTGTCTGCCATTTTGAAAAATGGCCACCATTTTTACGTGTGTTATTTAACATTTACTGAAAGTCAAAAAGTAGTGGAGCGATTTTGTTCATATTTGTTATGTGAATACTTTAAGCATGGCCCAATGTCTAATGACACTTTGGGTAGTAGGCGGTCATTTTTCAAAATGGCTGCCATTTTTACTTGTGTTATTTTACATTTTTTACTCTTAACTCAAAAAGTAGTAGAGCGATTTTGTTCATATTTTATATGTGAAAAATATAAGCATGGCACACTGTCTAATGACACTTTGGGTAGTAGGCGGCCATTTTGAAAAATGGCCTCTGTTTTTTGTTACATTTTTTACTATAACTTGAAAAGTAGTGGAGCGATTTTGTTCATATTTGATATGTGAATACTTATGAGCCTTGCACACTGTCTCATGACACTTCGCTTAGTAGGTGGCCATTTTAAAAAATGGCTGTAATTTTTACATTTTTTACTATAACTTGAAAAGTATTGGAGCGATTTTGTTCATATTTGATATGTGAATACTTTAAGCATGGCACATTGTGTAATAAAACTTTTGGGAGTAGTCGGCCACCATTTTTATGTGTATTATTTTACATTTTTATAATAATTCAAAAAATTATACAGCGATTTTGTTCATACATGTATTTGATATGTGAATACTCGTAAAGATTGCATACTGTCTTATGACATTTTGGGTAGTAGGCGGCCATTTTAAAAAATGACCAGCATTTACATGTATGTGTGTGCGATTTTTAAAATTTTTTATATGTGGCTACTTAAAAGCATATTACTTCTTCTGATGACAACTTGGCTAGTGAGCAACCATTATGAAAATGTTGGCCTTTCTTATGGGTGTTATTTTATATTTGCTATATATTTTGTTTGCTATATACTTTTTGGCGTTGCCGTTGTTCTGGTTATTTTTAATCACATATGAAATATGGACTGGGCACTTTCATTCCCAAATCTTATGTAATTTAATTTAATCATTATTTGACAGAACTATTGTTATCCCATCAAATGAAGTTCGGAGGGATATAGGGAACCTCCGTCCGTCCGTCCAGGCAATAACTCAAATACCCTTGGCCAGATTTTGTTCATGGTAGAAGTTCAGCTCGTAAGCTGATTTTCAAAATGGCTGCTCATTTAAAAATTGCGGCCATTTTACAGATTATACAGTTATTAAGGTACAGTATGTAAAACTGTAATAGCAATATGTTTTAAATGTAAAAAACTTAGTAGGACAAATAGGACATTAATAAAGCTAGAAATGTAGGTATTAAAGAAGCACATGGCAGCCTTCTTGAAAAATGGCAGCCTTTACTTGCTATTTTACAATTTTTGCTGTGACTCAAAAAGTAGTAGATTGTTTTTGTTCATATTTGGAATGTGAATACTCTAATAAGCATGGCACACTGTCTAATGACACTTTTGGTAGAAGGGGGCCATTTTGAAAAATGGCCGCCATATTAATGTATTTTACTATAACAGGAAAACTAGTGGAGCGATTTTGTTCATATTTGGTATGTGAATTGGTAGAAGGCGACCATTTTAGTTTTAGTCTTAGTTTATTAAGACTTCTCAGATCAGCCTCACATACCCGGGCTCACATGTCTTGTGCGATTGTAAACAAAAAATGTAAATTATATTATCTGATAGTGGTCATACAATATCCTGTTAAATGGTTATTATGTCGTAGTAAAAAGTTCCATTAGAAATTCACCATGAGTGACACTCGCGCAATAAAGAATAAATAAAAAATAAGAAAAGCTACAAAAGCCATAGGAGACCCTTTTTAGGGTCTCCTAATAAGAATAAGAATAAGAAAACTGACGAAAACAATAGAGTCCAGAGTCTGGAGTCTAATAATAAGAAAAAAGAAAAATGGCAAAAGCAATAGACTCCAGATTTCATCCGGAGTCTAATAAGACTAAGAAAAAAGAAAAATGGCAAAATAATAGACTCCAGATTTCATCTGGAGTCTAGTAACTTATGAATATTTTTAGAGCTGTGGATTAATTCAAATAATTCTAAAAAATTTAACATTGTTTTGAATCAAGTATGTCCCCCATCCCACGTACTTGAAAAAATGTTTGTTTTATAATCAGCAACATGCCTGGAGTCTAGTAACTTATGAATATTTTTAGAGCTGTGGATTAATTCAAATAATTCTAAAAAATTTAACATTGTTTTGAATCAAGTATGTCCCCCATCCCACGTACTTGAAAAAATGTTTGTTTTATAATCAGCAACATGCCTTTACATCACACTGGAGTAGCCTGACAACGGTAAAGTCAGATGCCGTTGTCACAAATGGTGGACATAACGGTTGCTTCAATTAGATTTTCATGAACTGTATGTTTAATAGAGCACCTAGACTAAATGAGGACCAAGTGATTAAACAGTTGAAGCGACGATTATGTCCGGCATTTGTGACAACAGTATCTGACTTTACCATTGTCAGGCTATTCCAGTGTGTACATGTTATTCTTTGATTTCAATGGGTTGTAAAATGTTTAAGTCATGTTTGTTTTACAAGTTTGATATTGATGTAGGTTGAGACAAAAACTTGGCAATGACTGGGCCAGTATAGGGGCAGAGCTTGGCAGGAGTGCTGCCTCTGTCAAAGATAGATGTCGCCTTATGAAAGATACATGTAACTCTGGTAAGTCCAATAATTTATATGTTACTAACAATTTAGCTGTTAAAGTAGGTCACCATGGTTCACAATAGCCCCCACATGGGAGCAGCCCCCATAAAATGCTAAATACCTGTTTATTGATCTTTCGACCTTGATTGATTCTTGAATCCATAAACATTGACTTTGACGTCAGGTCAACTTATCTCGGGTCACAAAGTGTCATAGCAGCACTGATGGTCTTAAACAACAAAATCCTAGATATTGACCATTGAACTTTGAATGACCTTGACCTCAGGTCACCTAATCATGGGTCACCAAGAGTCACAGTAGCCCCCCTCCTAAAATAGCCAAATATTAGATATTGACCTTTCACCTTGAGATGACATTGACCCATAAACATTGACCTTGACCTCAGGTCACCTAATCATGGGTCACTAAGGGTTACAGCAGCCCCCAGGGTCTTAAAACACCAAATACCTTTATATTAATTAACCTTTGACCTAGGACTGACCCTAAACTCGTGTCACCTAATTATGGCTCCCCAAGCGTCACAGCAGCTTCATAGTTCCTTAAAACAGCAAATACTTAGACATTGACCTTTGATCTTGAGATGACCTTGATTGATAAGCATAGACCTTGAACTCTGGTCACCTCATTATTATTGGCTGCCAAGGGTCACAGCAGCCCCAAGGACCTTAAATCACCAAATACCTAGATGTTGACCTTGATCTAGGAATGACCTTGACCTCAGGTGAGTGACATAATCATTGGACACCAATACTCAGATTAGCCCCCAAATGCATTAAATGACCAAATACCAAGATTTTAAATGCTGATGCCTAGGGACATAGGAGCTCTGCTCGAGAAAGGATTTTTCAAGATGGCAGCTTAATTTCAAAATGGCGGCCATTTTTCGTAAAAAAACGTTATCTTTGATAACTCAAATACCATTGAATGGATTTGGTTCAAATTCTATATGCTGATGCCTAGAGACAAAGAAGTTCTGCTCAAAAATGAATTTTCAAGATGGCCACTGAATTTCAAAATGGCCGCCATTTTTTGTAAAAAACGTAATTAATGATAACTCAAATACTGGTGGATGGACTTGGTTCCAATTTTATATGCTGATGTTTAGGGAAAAGGGAGATCTGCTTCAGAAGAAATTTCAAAGGCGATAGCTGAATTTCAAAATGGCTGCCATTTTTCATTAAAACTAAAGTTGACAGCTGAATTTCAAAATGGCAACCATGTTTCATAAAGACATAATCTTTGATATATCAAATACCAGTAGATGAATTTGGCTCAATTTTTTTTATCAAAACATGTTTTGTTCAATGGGATTTGCTACTCCGTGGAGTTGCTGTTTTTCTAGTTCAAATATCAGTTGATGGATTTGATTGAAATTTTATAAGCGTTTGCCTTTTGGGTGAAGAACCACTGCTCAATTCAAAATGGCTGCCAATTTTCATAATAAATGTAGTCTTTGATAATTCAAATACTGGTTTCTGGATTTTGTTCAATTTTACATGATGATGCCTAGGAGCAAAGGAGCCTTGCTGAAGAAGGGCCACTGATTTCAAAATGGACGCTATTTTTCATAAAAAATGTGAACTTTTATAAATCATATACCAGAGAACAGATCTGGTTAAAATTAAACATTTTTGATGCCTAACAACACAGTAGCTTTGTCTGGGAAAGAATTTCCAAGATGGCAGTTGAATTTGGAGTCTGAAATTGAACTTGTTCAATTTCCAAAGTCTAGTTATTATTCTTTCCCAGTTTTCTCGTTAACTAGAAGATATTGAGTCAAGTCTTATATATGGTCCATTTAGGTCCTAGATTTAGTTTCTCGGAAATTGGGTCAAATTTTATCTAGGTCAAAGGTCAAGAACTAGGTCAAATCTTACATTTTCATCATTCTGTCATTTGTCTTCGTCGTTGTTTATCATAACTCCTAAATCTTTTTTTCATCATGTAGCTTAGAAAAAGCCAAAGCAAAGATATGACATTAGATTTTTGATTACGCTTACCGATTTTGAAATATGGCGTCCAGAAAGTAGGTCACAATAAAAAGTTCTCCAAATTTAACATATGAGTTATGAATTAAGGGTAGAATTTTCTCAGGAATCCAAATCTGCAAACCAAATTTCGATCCGACTCTCGGTTCGGAAGTTATGGCGTTTTGAAAGTTCAAAAATCACTAAATTTGGTGCCCCATGTTATGTCAATGAGAAAAAGGATTTTTTGAAGTGTAAAATACCAGATATAGACTGAGTACAGCTTAACATTCTGAAAGCCTATAAAAGAATGGGACTTCGAAGGCTATCTAGCTTTAAAATTTGGACACCAAAATGCCTAGGTCAAAATCTAGGTCAAATTCATAGTTTTTCCTTATTTTTGCGATTCTGACATTATACTTTAATGATTAGCTTCGAAATTTTGTATACAGGTAGCAAAGAGTGTGTTTATAGTGATAGCCTTTTGCCCTCAGAAAGTATTTTGACCCACTTTTGAGATATGGTGTCTGTAAAGTAGGTCAAAATAAAAAGTTCTCATAATTTAACTTAGTAGTTATGAATTAAGGGTAGAATTTTCTCAGGAATCCGATTCTGCAAACCAAATTTCAATCAGACTTTCGGTCAAAAATTCCTACTTACCTACCTACCTACATACCTACTCGGCTACTTACTTAGCTACCTACTTCTCCACTACCTACTCAGCTACTTACTCAGCTACCTACTTACTCAATTACTTAATCATCTACTTACTCAGCTTCCTACTCAGTTACTTACTCAGCTCTTTACTCAAGTCAATCAATCTGGAGTCTTAAATTGAACTTTGTTCAATTTACCAATCTAGTTATCCTTGATATGTGGGATCAATTTGTAGAAAAATATGTATATTTTCAAAAATTAGCAATAAAAAGCATTCAAGATTACTGATATGAGTATATTTTGGTTGATTTGGGAGGTATGTATCACTTCCTGTGAAAATGTGAATTTTTATCAGTCTCAGAAAATGTCTCCAGAATGTATAAACCCAACTTGGCAGATGTCCCTACATTGTTTGATTGCGTCACTCTACATACACTCATCGGATTAATATGTTGTATATATGTAGGGTGGTCCAAAAAAAGTGAAACCCTGCAACGGGCCATATTTCCCTTATTACTTGCAGGAATTCTTCTTTATTTTCACATGTTGTAGAGGAAGGTCTAAAGTTTATGTTGGTACCATACATTTTTCGTAGTCTTGAAATTTGCAGAAATTATAAGCCCTAACCAAATGTTACTGAAAATGGATAAAATGTTATTTTCAATATCCGCGATTCTTCAACCCTTGAACACCCTTCCCCTGACATTTTTTAAGCTGCAGTCTTAAAGAACTAATATTTTCTGACTAAAACTAGCATCCTACCTTTGTTAGTTGCAAAGTTATTGTGATCCAAGGAAATATTCTAAGCTTCCATAAACAAAAACATTTTCCAGTGAAATCGCGAACATATGCCTATATGATCTAGAAATGTAAATATCTTCAAAAATCATTGACCAATTTTAATGAAATATGGCTCAAAAGATTGAATATTGGATTTTCTTTTGATTTTTTAAAGATATTTGATGAAGGTCTTCTCAGATTCATGGTCACAGGGGGCAACTTCCTTCCACAAGAGGCCCCCCTAAACTGTTGGTGTAGGTAACATACCCCTGAACTGTTGAACGGTTAAAACTGCCCTTAGGAAAAATGTTATGGGTATTACCCATAGTGTTATCCATAATAATGGTAATTCATAAGGTCATTTATAGTTTATATATACATAACCCATAGTGTTACCCATAGTGTTACCCATAACCAATAGTTATGGTTAAAACTTACATGTTATAACAATGATATACTCATGATTTAACATAAGTAGATGTTATTGGCTAAGCATGTGTAGGTTATGGGCAAATTATGTGTCCCCATAACATACACATAAATTCCAAAAAATTTAAGACAGAGAATAAATTATGGCATCAACCAAAATTTTAGAGCTTTCTCTACAACATGTGATAATATGAGCCAATTCATGCAAGTATTAAGGAAAATATTAGAGGTGTGCACGGATGGTAAATCACTTAAGTGATCAACGAAATATTTTAATCATGATCGATTAATCGATTCTAACAGAAATGATGGCTATAGACATAATTTCCAGACAATTTTCTAGTACTGGGCGATAAATCATTCATTTAACTCTCACTCACCTTTTTCAAGTCTTCCTTGCAGACTTCCATTCAGTCATATTTGTATTCAAGTATCAAGTTATCATGTGAATTTTGGACTATGTTTCATGATGATAAGTTAACAGAACTTGTGTGAAAGAATATGAATTTATTTCAATATTTATTTTTCGTTATCAAAGATGATTATTGGCGATGTTGTTGGAGTTTTCCTTGCAATTCCCCATATGAGCATTAGATAGATGGTGTTAGCTCATACCTGTAGTGCTATTAGAATACTCCAATGTCCAATTGTCTTCATGAAAAATGACCATTAGTCTATCTCGCTTTTTTCCCTGGAGATGTCGCCATTTCTTGACCGCTTCTAAACTAAATAAAATCGGGACGATTACATTCAAATGTGCCAACGATTCGCCTTGGATTTGTTTGCATACCTCTATTGAATATATACATAACAACAAAATGTATCGGTAAAACACAAAAGTAAGCATCTGGCTTAGATTAGTTTGTTTGTTTGGCAGTTTGAGTTTTTTGCTTGGCATGTCAATCTGACTAATCAGGGCTCAATCTGTCAGTGACGTCACGTAAGCTTACACACGGCGGGATATTGAAGATTAACTTTTTGAGAATCAGTCAATTGAGTATTAAGAATCTTATTTGATTAAACGTGTGTCGATCAATTAATCAATGATCAAATAAAAATTCACACCTCTAGAAAATATTGCCTGTTGCAGGGGTTCACTTTTTTGGACCACCCTGTAAATAGTCATATTTCATATATGTTCATATTTAGAAATCCAGCTCAAATTTATTATGCAGAAGAAATATACCGTAAGTCACAATCAGTAGGCAGGAAAATATCATTTGCTAATAAATGCCCAAAGCAAAGGGAACTGTATGAGTGTCCCCTGTATGGAGACAGAGGGTTACATCTAAATCGTAGTGTACTCTCATGAGATCAAGCCACCCAATCTAAACGATACACAGACAACCATCTTAAAGTAGATGGGAAATATACCATCATTGTTTAAAAAAGAAACACATGGCCTAATTTGTGTAAAAGCCCAGTAATCAGTTTGTGTTCTCTAAACCTCATTAAATACATGGGTAGAGTATAACCCTGAATCCAGATGAATGTAATAGTATTGATGCAATCACTGGATGGTGTTGTACATGTCCAGCTGAGAGTAGGGTTGTAGGCACAAGGGGTATAAAAGTAAAAAGAAAAGACACTTTAAAATCAAAAGATATGTCTGAATTGTTGTCATCTGAAGAAGATAGAATCTCTTATTATAATTAACAAACAAATGAATGTGCTCATCCACAGTTATGTAAAGTCCAACCTTTTAGAAATTGTTATATTTTATGTGTTTTCAAATGTTGCTCTTTGTGCTTCCTCACTGTGATGTGAAATAATAAATTCAGTATTTTACAGCCACTTTAAAGCAAACTGTATCAGACTGTGTATATGAGCAATTGATCTCAAGGAAGCAGATCAATATATAATTGATTGATTTGCATTTTTGACTTGTTGATTAATTCTTGTGTTTTTTAATGTTGCCCCTTGTTCTTTCTCATTGTGATGTAAATTTAAAAAAACTCAATGTTCTTTTCTGACATAGTTTTGCAAACTTTTTTTGTAGACAATTGATCTCAATGAAGTATAAAGAAAATCACTATTCAATATTTTGTTTGCATTTTTGACATGTTTTTTCGAATGTTGCCCATAGAGCTTTGTCACTATTATGTAAGATAATACCAAGAGGATCAATTTAAAAGTCTTAAATGACTGAAAATAATGATCATTTTGTAGTAGCTCTGTTGGAGATGGAATTGTCGAGATGGCAGCTTAATTTTAAAATGGCTGCCGTTTTTCATAAAAGAAAATTATCTTCAATAAATGCCAATACTCCTATTCGTGATAAGAGTTCAGGTGGTAATTTACATATTATCTCCCATGATGCATCGATTTGGAAGGGACAAATTTTAATTGGCCCGCCGAACGAGTCGATTACTCTGAACGTTTCTCAGCTTCTGATTCTCAAAGCTTTACTTACCTCTAAACTGTACATATTGTTTAAATCAATTGTATGTATGGATCAAATAAATATATATTTACATAATCCTGGACAGATAAATCAAAAACATTCATTCATAGCTGAGTAAATTGGAATTCATCAAGAGGGTTGTAAAATATGTGATTTTTTTGCTTCTGGCCCCCACCCTCTTTGAAGGTCTCCAGACACCGTAACAATTTTTTCTAAATTTTTTTAAAAATACTACCCAAAAATATAGACTTCAATCTATGCATTTCTGATGTTTTTTTCTCCCATTCTTAAAAAAAGTTTTTTCACACTTCAATTGGGGCACTCTCTGTTGCTAGTTTACCCAACTCCTTTCAAAATGGCTGCTATTTCCATTGAAAAACATAATCTTTGGTAACTCAAACATAAGTGAATGCATTTGGTTCAAATTTTATATGATATTGCCTTTGGACAAAAGAACTCTGCTTGAGAGGAAATTTTCAAGATGACAGCTGAATTTCGAAACGGCTACCATTTTCTGTAAAAATGTTATATTTGCTTTATCAAACACCAGTGGATGGAATTGGTTCAAAATTAATAAGCTGATGCTTAGAGATAAAGGAGGTCTGCGCAAGAAAATATTTTCAATTTGTCTTAAAATGTAATATTTTTGATAATTCAAATACTAGTTGATGAATCTGGTTCAAATTTTATTTGCTGCTACCTAGGGACAAAGGAGCTCTGCTTAATAAGAAAATTTCAAGAAACAGTGCTTTCAGTAGGTTTGTCTGAGAGTGCTTTCCTGGGACGGATTGATTTGATTACTCTTACCGTTTTTGAGATGGTGCCCGAAAAGTAGGTCACAACAAAAAGTTCTCAAAAATCAACATATGAGTTATGAAATAGGTGTAGAATTTTCCCAGAAATCCGAATCTGCAAACCAAATTTTGATCCGACATCTGGGTCAAAAGTTATGGCATTTTGAAAATTGGAGAAAAATCGATCTGATGGTATCCTTAAAAGAAAGTCAAGATTACTGAAGAAAATATTGAAAATTGATATATTTATCGATCTAAATATATCTAAAAATCTATCTAAATATATCTAAAAATCTATCTAAATCTATCAAAAAATCTATCTAAATCTATCTAAAAATCTATCTAAATCTATAATATCCACTATGAAAACAAGCCGCTAGACACCCAAGTGGGTATTTGTTGCAGTTTAACAAATTTTTTAAATGACATGTAGACTACATATTAAAGAAAGCACTTATATTATGTTACATGAAGGTATATAAAAATGGTATTAACAAGTAATTTAAGGATGTACAATTAATGTAGGAATGTACAAAAAATCAGGTACCAGTATAAAATCAACAATCAACAAAATGATCAAATATCAGGCATTATGATCAAATATCAAATATTTTCCATAAAAAAACTGGAGAGTTAACTGATCAAATTTCAAAGATATTACAATATAGTATGTATAGTCACCTTTCATAAGTATTTCCAGATTGTTTATAAATAGTAATCCATAGTTATTTTGCTTGTAATATCCCTCATCACACTAGATTTTGAAGAAACACAGCCAGCAAATATTTTTCTGACTTATGTTTTGACCTGACCTTGACCTCCAAAGCCGACCACAATGCTTGGGCCTACAATATTGGTGATGACAAAAATAATAGAATGGACTTCAACAATGACGGTGAAATTTTATGTCTGAATTATGAATTCAAACATGACCGTGCTCTATTCGAATTTCTCAACCAATCAGAATGCAGCATAGCCAATATAGAACGTTCTCTAATTCTCCATAGATGCACGACCATGCTCTATTCAATCTGCAATTTGCATTGTTTTGAGTGACGTCACATCTCAGCTGTACATCTGGGGCTCTGTCCGGGGATAGCTGTTCGTATTCTTCCTTCATGCCCGTTCCACAGACACGGCTTTTACTAATTTTTATGTTTGAATCGGAATAAATAATGATAGGCCATTCAATATGGTGAAATTCAGCACTCGTTGGACAGAATGTTAGTACAAATGCACTCACCTTCGGTTCGTGCTTTGTACAACATTCTGTCCAACTCGTGCTGAATTTCACCATATTGAATGGCCTATCATTATTTATTCCTTAAATAAAGGTAGAATTTTCTCAGGAATACGAATCTGCAAACCAAATTGCAATCCGACTTTCGGTTCGGAAGTAAGGGCATTTTGAAATCGCAAAAAAATCAATATGATGATATCCTCATCTTTACTCAATGGTGCCAGTTCGAATTGAAAAATACCAGATTTTTGCTCAGCTACCTACTCGACAGCCAACTTAATGAAAGCCTTTAATAGATTTTTGCTATATACTTTGTTTGAAAAAATGCCAGCCATGGCTGTTTGATGGGATTTTAAGATAAAAAAAATTATGTTTCATTTGATTTAGGGAAGTGGCTTCCAGAAGAGGAGAATCGGCTTACACTTGCAGTACAAGAGTTGACTGGCTTAGAACCAGGTGACCTTTCTAGCCCTACTTGAACTTTCATTAGCATAGTACTAGTGACTAGAGTTGTAACTCGCCAGAAAAATCCAACTCGAGTTCAACTTGCCAAATATTTCCAAAACTCGAGTAAAACCTGAGTTAATTAATTTCATCCAGTTCATATTGTAAACCTGGGTAGACAAAATTACTGTAACTCTAGAGGCAAGTTTCTCTTGTTTAGTCACATCTAAAAGCTGTTTAACACGTCGGGGCCATAAGACAGTGTGATATTCATTGCAGTTATCTCATATTTCAATCAAAAACAATCTGGGATACGGCATCATCGCCGCATACGGTAAGGACTAGAGATTGCTAGAAATGAACCAGGAAGGGCCCTCAAATTATGACTTATGATCTTAATTTAATGATAGAATATCTTTTTATTAGCTCACATGGTGAGCTTTTGCAATCGCTCACTTGTCCGTCTGTCTGTCCGTCCGTCCGTCCGTCTGTCTGTCCGTCAACAATAGTGGCACGTTTTAAAACCTCTGTCGATAGGATTCCTGTTTTAAGTTATTTCTGTTCAACATCAATACAGAAAACTCCCCTATGACTCCTGGTTCAAAAGCTCGCCTATTTTCAAAATGGCCGCCATTTTTGTCTCGCGAAATTCACTTTTGACCTATTTCCTAGCTTTACAAATAACTTCAAGTGTGCTACATTGTTAAAATCCATGTCAATGTAAAGAGTAGATGTATGAAATAATTTTGTTACGAAAAATCAGCAAAAAATTATATCCATTTTTTTTTATTTTCAGCCATTTTAGTTAACATTGATTTGTCCATCTGTCTCGCAAAATCCACTTTTGGACCATTTGCCTTAAACCCTCTGTCGATAGGATTCCTGTTGTAAGTTAACTTTGTTCAACATCAATACAAAAAACTCTCCTATGACTCTTGGTTCAAAAGCTCGCCTATTTTCAAAATGGTCGCTATTCTTGTCTCGCGAAATTCACTTTTGGCCCATTTCCTAGCTTTACAAATAATTTCAGCTGTCCTGCATTGTAAAAAGCCATGTCACTGTAAAGAGTAGTTGTATGAAATAATTTTGTTACAAAAAATCGGCAAAATACTATATCTGTTTTTTTTATTTTCAGCCATTTTAGTTAACATTGATTCGTCCATCTGTCTCTCAGTCAGTCCAAAATAGTGGCAAGTTTTAAACCTCTGTCAACACTTGGCTCTTTTTAAATCCTCTGTAGATAGGATTCCCGATTTAAAATATTTTTGTTCAACATCAATAAAGAAAAAAAACCTGTGACTCCTGCTTCAAAATCTCGCCTATTTTCAAAATGGCCACCATTTTTGTCTCGGGAAATTCACTTTTGGCCCATTTCCTAGCTTTACAAATAAGTTCAGGTGTCCTGCATTGTAAAAAGCCATGTCTTTGTAAAGAGTAGTTGTATGAAATAATTTTGTCACAAAAAATCTGCAAAAAATTATACCCGTCTTTTTTATTTTCACTTTTGAGCAACACCATATGAGCCCAGTACCCACGGTACTGATTATTTTATTTATGTAAAAGTCATGGAAACAACATGAGAAAGTTGGGGACCATTTTTTATTCAATTTGAGTGACTACTCTATTATTGCCCGCTTGAGTTCCTTTGATAGTCAATCTTTTTCTGATTTTCTTTGGTGTAACTTGTCATTCCTAGATTTTTGTTGTTGAACTTTATGAGGCTTTGAAAGTGCTTTTTAGGTGACAGGCGCTAAATACAGCAATCATTGGTATATTTATTCTCCTAATGAAGTAATGTTGCACAATCTCTGGGACCTGAATTCATTTTACATGCTTGCGAGTTTACTCGAGTTATACCTAGCTCGCAAGTTGAAATATATATGCGAGTTTCTAGAGGACAACTCGAGGCAATGTATAGGCAGCTCTGACGAGCTGTACTCAAGTTACGGACTCGGGAGTTACACCTCTAATTTTATGACTTTTGCTCTTTGGTATCATAATTTACAGTTTTGCATTGGGTCTATGGTTGTAATAACAAGATAATGTTGAAAAAAGATGGCCAATATGATATGTAGAAAAATCTGATCCACTTTCTCTAAAACATGACAGAGAAAGACATTAACAAAACGAAATGCTTGTTTTGTTGTTGACTAGGTAACATATTAATGACGTCACTGATTAATATATAAATATAATCAAGACACCCTATACAGACTGTGCTATACGAAAATAAGTGGTGCGGATATCATGTGCGCAAGGTGCGGATATTTACAGTCATATTTGAATTTGTGATATTTCATGAACTAAGGTATGTTGGGTACTCAATTATAGTCATTCATTTGTATAGGAGACCTAATAAAAGGGAAATTTTGGGGTTTGTAGAAAAAACTGGGTACTGGGTACCAGGTAGTAAATCCTCCATGCTGGGTTCAAACTTGGTACCCGGTACCCGGTCGAAAAAACAGGGTACCCAAAAAATGAAAAATACGAATTATATAACATAATTAGATCATTAGAAAACATGTAAGATTTGTTTTGAATTTACAAAAATGTATGTAACTTCCTTCAAAATTGAGCTAGGAGCTTCAAATAAAAAGCATTTTAAGGCTGTATCATCATGGTCATATTTTCAATGGTTATGGGGGAAGGGGGGGGGGGTGTACCATCGAACCTCCTCCTGGCTACGCCTATGACATTGTAAGACGATGTGAAAACATGACATATCAATCTTACTCTATTTTCAATAGTTCGTATGCAGGTATGTTGGTACGTGATGAATTGTTTTGATTATGATTTAAATCTGTAAATAGCTATCGTTACTTTAGCAGAGAGGTGATGTGTGTTAATTTATATGATGTAACATATAATTTTAAGTCATCCAAATTTTCGATGAAATGTCCACTGAAGTGTAAATTGTTACACCTAACAATGTCAAAGGCGTAGTCAGGAGGGGGTGCGATGGTGCAATCGCACCCCCCCCCCCTATAACAAATGAAAATATGACCATGATGATAGAGGAAGAAAAGAGCCTTAAAATGCTTTTTATTTGAAGCTTCTAGCTCAATTTTGAAGGAAGTTACATATATTTTTGTAAATTCAAAACAAATCTTATACATTTTTGCATTTTGAAAGTTATAAGCTTTCTGTGTGAATTTTTAAAAAATTGGAAACATTTATCAGATATATGCTACCTCTAAACAAGTGGTGCGGATATCTGTCACTCTACAGATATCCATGGATATCTGCACCGCTTATTTAGAGGCAGCACATTTTTGTTTGATGTTTCCCATTTTGTTTAAAATCACACAGAAACCTTTCAACTTTGAAAATACAAAACATAATTTGTATTGATAGGTCATCTCGATCACCAATAATGAATGAATGCTGTTTGTGCTGTGAAACAGCTGCAATTTCAAATTATTTGCTTTGGAGAGAAAATTATCGCTTGATGTGTCGCTATAGAACAAACTACACACCTATTTACACAATTCCTTTTTATTTTGTTACAAAAAATCGGCAAAAAATTATATCCGTTTTTTTATTTTCAGCCATTTTAGATAACATTTTAAGTTATCCCAATTTTTGACGAAACGTCCACTGAAGTGTAAATTGTAACGTCTTACAATGTAATAGGCATAGCCAGGAGGAGGTGAGATTGTGCGATCCCATCCCTCCATTACCAATGATAATATGAATATGATGATAGAGGAAGAAAAGAGCCTTAAAATGCTTTTTATTTGAAGATTCTAGCTCAAAGGAGCACGTAGGTTATCGCAAACAATTTCAGAAGGTTACATCTCGGATTTTGACTGATTTCTGACAAATGAAGACAGGTTTATCTTTTAGATCAATGCATTATCTCAAAGAAAATTATATACAGTAATAATAAAGTCAAACAAACTCAGAGATATTTAACTAGCAATAAACCCATCAACACACTTTTTCAAAGATGTTGACCCCATTTTCACCAAAAGTGCAATCATTTTTTACAATGTTTAATGCATTACTATTCTTTATTTTGATGTATCAAATACACGAGGGGAAAGTGAACCCGTGTATATACAACCTACTGCCGAGCAAGACACGCATATACCGCCTATCAAATGTTTGGTTAACTACATCTCATAGGAAAAAGGACAATAAAGGTAATATTGGACCTCTATCAATTCCCTTGGATGGTTAGAATCATTACTAAGATGTTCTAGCAGGCGGAATTAGCCTAGAATTATAGTTGAAATATATTTGTTATGTCCAAATTAAGAGATAAGTTAAACCTATAATGGTTTTCGATTTGTTTTTCTCATTCATACTCACTTTAATTGAAATTGAGCGATCCAATGTTATCGGACATCGGACCCGATGTGATCAAAGAGTAATATTATAAAGATCCAAAAATATCTTGAGTAAATGATCTCAGAATCCGAACATTACTTGAGAAAAATCTGTTGAGATCCGATTATATCATCGAGTCTGTGACATGCTGATGATGAAATAGTGTTTGTGTTACTTTTGGGAGTTTTCGAACCTTGATTTAATTGCCTTTATTAGAAGGGTTACTTGTTATTATCCCAACGAACGAAGTTCGGTAGGGATATAGTGAAGCCCTCCGTCCGTTGAATTGAAAGAATTGAAAAAACTTGGAATGATAAATATAGAAGATAATGATAGACTACACACACAACTTAAAATTACTCTGGAGGACAGAATCCAATCAAAACTCAGGAAAAACAATAAACTAAAAACCAAGAATAGGAAAAAGAAACCAACCAAATTCTGTAAAATACTATTTGAAAACAAAGCAGTAGAAGTAATCAACATTGCAAATATCTTAAGAGATGAAGAAGTGATCAAGACAATACCTCCAAGTATCAAAAATAAGGAACCACCAGGAATTGTCTATATATACACTAAGCCAATAAGGAATAAATTGTTCAACTATAGTGAGATTACAGAAAGTATCGACGAAGGCAACAATATAGGAGAATGTGATTGTAATACATCTGAATTTAAGG